TCCACTCCTTGAAGCGGTGCAGAGTTACCTATAGCTTATCCAAGTACCGTTGCATTATGTCTTCCCGAACCTCGAAGCTTTTGTTTACTTGGTTTACGACCAATAGAGAGTCGCACTTGACCTTGATGACTTCATCTCCCAAGCTTTTAGCTAGCTCAAGACCTGCAATCATGACCTCATACTCGGCCTCATTTTTAGTTAATCTTGGAGTTCTGATAGATTGACTAATAGTATCACCTGTGGGTGGTTTCAAGACAATGCCAAGCCCGGACCCCTTCACATTCGAGGCACCGTCCGTGAAAAGGGTCTATACCCCTAATGCTGTACCCGAGTTTAGCAGGAGTTCTTTTTCTACTTCAGGTGCGAGGGTCGGCGTAAAATCGGCCACGAAATTAGCTAGGATTTGAGACTTGATGGCCGTTCGGGGTTGATATTTCATATCGTACCCGCTAAGTTTGACAGCCCATTTGGCCAATCAGCCTGATAGCTCGGGCTTATGCAAAAGGTTTCGAAGGGGGTAAGTGGTTAATACACATATAGGATGACATTGAAAATATGGTTTTAACTTTAGAGATGCGCTTATTAATGCAAGCGCTAATTTTTCTAAGTGAGGGTACCTAGTTTTAGCATCTCCTAGAATTCGGCTTACGTAATAAACAGGAAATTGCGTACCTTGCTCTTCTCGAACTAGTACCCCACTTACCGCTATCTCGGATACTGCCAAGTATTGATAAAGCCTTTCATCTTCCTTCGGGGTGTGAAGCAAAGGCGTGCTCGACAGATATCGCTTTAATTCTTCTAAGGCTTGCTGACATTCTAGGGTCCATGCGAAATCCTTTTTCTTTTTGAGCAAAGAAAAGAACCGGTGACTCTGATCCGACGACCTCGAGATGAATCGACCCAAGGCAGCTATTTGCCCTATTAGCCTTTGCACGACCTTCACACTATCCATGATCGTGATATCCTCGATAGCCTTGATCTTATCGGGATTGATTTCGATACCTCGATTTGATACCATGAATCCGAGGAACTTATCCGAGCCGACTCCGAAGGCACATTTCTCTGGGTTAAGCTTCATGTTGTATTTCCTCAAAATTGCAAACGTTTCCTGCAAGTGTACTAAATGGTCCTCTGCGCGCAGGGACTTAACCAACATGTCATCGATATTGACTTCCATTGTTTTACCTATTTGTTCTTCAAACATTTTGTTAACTAGGTGATGGTATGTAGCTCCTGCATTTTTTAGCCCAAAGGGCATTACGTTGTAACAATAAGTTCCAAACTTAGTTATAAATGAAGCCTTTTCCTGGTCCTCAGGGTTCATCTGAATTTGATTGTACCCAGAGTAGGCATCGAGAAAAGTTAGGGTCTCGTGGCCAGCCGTGGCATCGATCATTCGGTCGATGTTTGGCAATGGGAAAGAATCCTTCGGACATGCTTTGTTCAATTCCTTATAATCCACACACATTCTAAGCTTATTTCCTTTTTAGGAACTACAACTACGTTTGCTAACCATTCGGGATACTTTACCTCCCGAATGTATCCTATTTTAAGGAGTTTGGTTACCTCGTCTTTTATAAAGGCATGTTGTACCTCGGACTGAGGCCTCCTCTTTTGCTTTACCGGTTTGAACCTGGGATCAGTGCTCACCCGATATGTGGTGATTTCTGGCGGGATCTCTGTCATATCTAAGTGGGACCAAGCAAAGCAATCCATATTATCAATAAGAATTTGAATGAGTTTTTTTCTGAGTTTTGGGGTTTAATCCCATTCCCAGGTATATCTTTTTCTCGGGCATGTACTCGATCAAAATTACCTGCTCCAGCTCCTTGATAGTTGATTTTGTCGCATCAGATTCTTCGGGAACGATTAAGGTTCGAGGAGTAAGGAAATCCTCATCTTCGTTTTCGATCACCTGTTGCTTTGACTCCATCGAGGTTGGAGGCGGTAATTGCTATTTGGAAGCCTGCTTACCTTTAGTGCTCGACTTCTCCAAGGTCAGAGGCTATGGAATCGGCCGTACTTCCTCGATCGCAAACATATCTTTTGCAGCATGTTGCTCCCCGTAGACCGTTTTTATCCCTTCCTCTATTGGGAACTTCATCATCTGGTGAAGAGTTGAAGGCACTGCCCTCATGTTGTGTATACATGGTCTCTCGAGGAGTGCGTTATACCTCATATCACCCTCGATGACATGGAACTTCGTATCTTGTATGGTCCCGGCTACATTTAGTGGCAAGATTATCTCTCCCTTTGTTGTTTCGCGTGCCATGTTGAAACCATTAAGGACCCGAGATGCAGGAACAATCTGATCTTATAGGCCGAGTTGTTCAACGACCCTCGATCTGATTATATTTGCTGAGCTACCTGGATCCACTAAAACACGTTTAACTTGAATTTTATTCAAAAGGATAGAGATTACCAGGGCATCATTGTCAGGCTGAGATATTCCTTCTGCTCCGAGTCGGTCTGTATTGTCCTGGGCCACTTGGTGTCTTTAATTCTCCCAATGGCGGAGAAAATCCCTGATGCATCGATGCTGAAGTTGTATTCTTATAATCGAGGAGCCTCGGCGGAGTTGGAGTGCTTGTCGAACCCACTTTTGCTCATAAGTCCCCGAGAGCTTTGACCTCGATCGTTTCTCCGATCGAAGGGCCGCTGCTCCTTCGATCGGCATATGGCTGATACCGCTCTTTGTTGAATCTCGATTCTCGATCTATGTCCCTAGGGAGCTTGGCTGTGAATCTGTTAGGATACACTAAACCCGAGGGGGCTCCTAACTGGTCGTCCTCGACCCTGATCTTTGACTGATAACGATTGTGCACATCCGACCATGTCACAGGTGGATATTCAATCAAGTTCTGCTTCAACTGCCGAGAAGCCATCAAACTCCTTTCATTCAAACCTTGCATAAAGGCCTGTACTACCCAGTCATCGGAGACCGGAGGTAATTCCATTCTTTCCATCTGAAACCGGGACACGAACTCCCGTAGCATCTCGTCGTTCCTTTGCTTAATTTTGAAGACGTCCGACTTTCTCGTGGCCACCTTTATGGCCCCGGATTGCGCTTTCACGAAGGCATCTGCTAACGTAGCAAACGGATCAATAGAGTTAGAAGCTAAGTTGTGATACCAAATCATGGCTCCCTTTGATAATGTTTCTCCAAACTTTTTCAACAACACTGATGTGATCTCGTTGTCATTCAAGTCATTTCCTTTGATTCCGTAAGTGAATGAAGTAATATGGTCGTTGGGGTCGGTTGTTCCGTTATACGTGGGTATATCGGGCATGCGAAATTTCTTAGGGATGGGCATTGGAGTCGCGCTCTGAGGGAATGATTTTTGTACGAACTTTTTGGCGTCTGAACGTTTCAAGACGGGAGGTGCCCCCGGTATCTGGTCTACACGGGAGTTATAGGTCTCCATTTTTTTATCATTGTCTTTAATTTTCTTTTCCCCGGACTGAATCCTCTTAGTGAGCTCTTCGAGCATTTTCATAATCGTGGGGTCAGTCTCCGAGCCATTTTCATTAGATCTCTCTGGCGTTGGCTCAGCACGTTGATTGTTTTCATGTTCAGCTATGCTCGGGGTTTATTTTGACTTTGGAGTTGAGCGATGGCAATTTGCTGAGCCTGCAGCATCTCGAATATTACTTGGAGACTAACTCCCCCATCCCCTACTCCTGGTGTTCCTTGGTCCCCTGGTCGGGCTTCCCTGCGTGCATTCCCTACGGGGTCTGCGCCTAAATCTGCGTTTAGAGTATAATGCGAACTAATATCAACTGGCTCCATATTTGGTACTCCCTCAGGGTTTTTGGGTGGCACACCGACCCCTATACCACTGTTTTCTCCAAGACCCTCACAGTCATGAACAGGTGCATTTTGTGTGCTAGAAATGTTCAAGACTGAGAATAAAAAAATCTTGACAAGAAAAAGTGTAAAGATATCATGTGTAACGAGAATCAATAAAGAAATAGTCATTATTATCTTTAGCCCCACGGTGGGCGCCAAACTGTTTGCCTCGAAAATACGAGTAACAATTAAATTTGATTTGTGGTTTTAAAGATATGTGATTTAGTTCAATACCAATTAAGAATCAACAAATATGAAATAGAAATGAAAGATAGAAGTGAATCAAAACAAATGTTACTTAGCTGCAGTGACATCGAGACGGTGACCTCGAGGTGGCTTAGGGCAGTAAGAACAATTAAGTAGGAAAATCAAAGTAAGAACAATTAAGCTAAAAGACAATTCTGATGAATAGCAGGCAAAATGTAGAGAGTATATTCTTTGCTTATAAAAAGATGGTCTTACAAATGATTGGGGTCCCCTTTATATAATGGGGAACCGTAAATAAGGAATATTTCCATTTACAGTAGGGAATATTCTTGGTACAGCTGTCTAACCGCCTAGTACGGAATTGTACACTCTTATTCCGTGATTTGAGCCATGACTTTGGGGACGTGGCTGGAATCTATCTCGTTCTGGTACAAATCCTTAACAGTATTATTTCGGGGTAGAACACACCCGACCTCGGCATGCATCGTGCTTCGCCTTCGAACTCGGGTTTGGTCCCTCGAACTCGAACCTGGCCTTACCCGGACTCGTACTTCTGACGGCCTCTCAAGTACATATAGATCGAAGGCACTTGATCTCGACCGTATACAGGACTCATCAAGTAGAATAGTTGTTGTAGCAGTCCAAGGTTTAAAATATAAAAGGTCTCAATGGTTTTCATTAAGTCTGCAGATTCCTCAAGTCTATTTACGCTTAACAATAGCCATCCGACACGTAGGTAACACAAACATGAGAAGTAATGCTGTTATCGCATAGAAGAATGACATTTTTACTCCAATTTCAAGATTCACTTCAGTGCTTTCTAGTAAATATGTATCCGAAGATAGAGATCAAAGACCATACACACTAAATTTGCACCGAAGCTTAATGATAAAAGTTAGATGTACTAATTCTTTTCCTCCATACCATCGCAAGATAACTACCCTCAAAAAAATTGACGGACCTTCTTATTAATAGAAATAGGAACATTCATTTCCTGAATTTACACAAAACGAATACTTAGACACTTACATAATTTACGTCTCTCATAGTGTTTGACTTTTCCTCTTTATAAGAACCTTCAAAAGAGTTCCACTCAACATCAAGTTCACAGGACCGACCCAAAAACTAGATGCTCCTCACTTGATTAAGACTTGAGTTTTACAAGAGATGCTAGAAACAATTTTTGATATTGGAATTCAATGAATCATTGTTTATGGCGAAGGTGCTGGACTCTAGTTAAAAGAGTTTGGATGTGTGAGAGAAGCCTCAATATCTTTGCCTTGAGAAGAATCAACATACTTAAGGTATTGATCAATATGTTTGGCATCTGAGCTAGCAGATCTTCCAAGATACCATTTCCGAGTTGGTATTGGTCTTTCGCTAATTGCAATGGAAATATCATTGGGAAAGAGGTCTCTCAGAACAAAGGCATGAATGATGGTTGTCACAAGCAGTCCTGTTACTGTGAGTGTAGAAAGAGCACAAAGTATGATGGCTAGGCACTTTGTCGCCACGTTGGTAACTACAAGTGAGTACCTGATTGTGGCAATAGCAGCTCCTGTCATAGGGAAAGTGTAGGCCCACCAAGCCAATGAAAACCTAATAGAGCAAACTCTAATATCAATTAGCTAAAGGTTAGGAGGAATAAGAAATCAGTACAAATAAAGACTGGCAATTTTTACGTACTTGAAGCCCCGGAAGAAATTAATGCGAACAGCCTGAAGAATTAGACAGATTAGTGTACAACTATACGTTAAAAGAAGCAATTCGGTTATATAGAGATGCATATATATAAATTGAGTAACATAGTGACATACCAGTGAAAAATAAAGGAACAATGCAACGAAATAAGAAATCCGAGATCCATGATCAAAAGACCCTTGGATCGTTGTCCATGCCATAGAAGCGACACTAGGTGCAGCAACAAAGAGAAAGAAGACAGGATGAAGTTCCTTTGGGAGTGTCTCATTTGTTGGGAGTCTCTGGTAGAGAGTTACAAACATAACTATGTAATGAGCCAATCCAACAGCAAAGAAGAAAATTGGCCCTTCAGTTAGACCCATGGATGCACCAAGCAATGCGCCCACGAAATTCCCAACAATTGAGAGATGATTCGAGGGATTTGCTACCTTTGAGAGTCTTCGCTGTCCTCCTGACATCCATTGCCCATATATCTTTAGCTGTAGACAAAAGATTGGAGCCATTAGAATGTACCATAAAGATGTGTGCAGGTTTTGGGTGACTGATGCTGGAACTCCAAGTGCTAAGAACAGAAGTGCTATCCAGGGAGCAAAGAAAAAGTTAACACGTATTGGCTGGTAGTACTCGCGACGAACAGCTTCAAAGTAGAAAATAATTTTCAGAGCATAAACGACGGAGATAATGGCCATAAGTGCCGCAGATATGCCCCACAGCCCAAGATTTGCTTTCAAGCTCACGTGCAGGAAATTTGTCGAGGCAGAAGTGGCCAGGTTCTTCCACATTATAGCTTGACTGCCAACACCAAGACAGATACCAAAGGAAGAAATAGGGAAACGAAGAAGAAATGGCCATTTTCTGTCTTCTGGAAGAATAATTTCCTCAGAAGCCTGCAGAGGGAAAACATGGTTACATTATCCTTTATTAAAAAGAAAAATTTCCATCCAAAATAAATTTATTGGTGATAAAAAGCATACCCTTAAGGTGTCCAATTCTGGCCCTTCCAAGGCATCAAAGTATCGATCCACAGGAATAGTTTCTGTCTCAGTACTTGGTCGATAAATAAGCTCTTGCTCTCTTTCACGGCTCTTTCCACGCAAAACTGATATTTGTCTCTCAAGTCTACCCGACCATGTTTTAAAAGAGTCAAATCTTGTATCCTTTAGCTTATTAATTCTGGGATTCCTCCATGGAGTGCTGGGAAGTTTTCCACTTGCAGGAGATTCAGGAAACAATGTACCTCTAGGCGTCGTTGTTGTCTGAGAATAACACATAGGTTGCTTATTCTGTGTGGTACCAATAGAATCAGTGACATCTATTATAGTCTCACTGATATTATTGAGGCCAGCTCCTTTTGGACTCACTAAATGAGTTTTTAAAGGACTAATGGAAATGGAATGCATTATGCCGCTCTGTTGTTCAGCAAAAGCTTTAGTTTCCTGGGAGGATAAGTTAGAATAATTGAAGTATCACAATATGTTACAGAGAAACATTAAAGTTAATCTACATTCTAATGGAATCCAAGATACTGCTGCTTTTGAGCAAATGAAGTAATCAAATAAGATGTGAAAAAGTTCAATCTGAAGTTGGATCTTCCATTAAAGTAGTACCTTTATTCTTGACAGCAATTAAGAAAGACTTACCACGGCTAGTGAGTTTAAAGAGTGAGAACGGGTTGAATCAAGCTGACTATCAACATGATCAAAGCCCTTCATTTCAAGACAACTTATAGTTTTGGATAGTGATGGAATCACTTTCGGAAAACCTTCTGATCTCATGGCTAACTACAAGATCTGCAATTTGAAACTGATGTAAGTGCATCTATTTTATAAATGCTGATGTTATGGAATAAGTGAGGGGGAGAGAACATACAAGTCTGGAAGTGGAAAGTACCAGTATAAATAGGATTATTCCAAGCAAAGTTCTTGGAAGCACATATCAGTCACAATTACAGCTTATATAATACAGCTTAAGAACATTGCTATAACATATGGTAGGTGAATACGACAGGTACGTACAGGCTTGAATGTCTGGGATCCATTCAATTATTTTGCAAACTTATTAGCAAAACACTACACTCTATGTGTTTCAATATATTTGACTTGGAAGCACACATCAGCGAGACCTGCAGCTAAACAAAATAATGGGATTTCGGGACTTCATTTATTACATTTTAGAATCCTAGATTCGGTGGGAGGCAATTTTAATGAGAGATTTTCATACAAAACTATTGGGTAAGTAATTTTGATACAATTTCAATTACATTATATGACTGTTTATGAGAATTAACATTTAATTAATGAGAATTTGAGAGAACTTTTGGGGGGGGGGGGGTAGGTTAGTACTGTAGTTTAGAAAATAAATTGAGTATTTGAGTAGTCTATTGGCCTCGTCTAA